ACCACCACCATCATCATGATGATGATGATGATCATCATCATCGTCACCGTCACCATCACCATCACCACCATCGTCACCATCACCACCATCACAATCACCATCACCGTCACCATCATCTTTGCCTTCATCTTCTTCTTCTTTATCATCATCACCATCATCACCACCACCATCATCACCACCACCACCACCATCATCAACACAATCACCATCACCATCATCATAATATTTGCCTTCATCTTCTTCTTCATCATCATCATCATCATCACCGTCAACATTATCCTCATCATCATCGTCCTCATCACCATCACCATCACCATCATCATCATCATCATCATCATCATCATCATCATCACCGTCAACATCATCATCATCGTCCTCATCACCATCATCACCATCATCATCACCATCGTCATCATCATCATCATCTTCTTCTTCTTCATCATCATCAGCATCATCATCATCATCAACATCATCATCATCATCATCATCATGAACATCATTGTCATCATCACCTTGATCATCACTATCACCACCATCACCATCACCATCACCATCACCAACACCACCATCATCACCCTCACTACCATCATCATCATCACCATCACCATCACCATCATCTTTGCCTTCATCTTCTGCTTCATCATCATCATCATCATCATGATCATCATTGTCATCATCATGATCATCATTGTCATCATCATGATCATCATTGTCATCATCATCATCATCATCATCATGATCACCACCATCACCACCATCATCATCATCATCTTCATCACCATATTACGAGGCGATTTGGAGTTGGCGTTTCTGGGTATATGTTGCCAAGGCGACCGGACGCGGTGGGGCGCGCCATGATGCGGAGGAGGCGCGTTTGGTTCTGATGTTTGTTGCTGGGGTTTAGGAGGGTTCAGGGGTTTAAGCCAAACGCCTACATTTTAAGGAGCTATCTTGGGGATAGGTCCGATCGTCCCAGAATCAGGGATTTTAGGGCCGGCTTGGCCTCTGTTTGACCCCAATTTGATGAGTTTGCAGATCGCGGATTTCGAAGTTGTAGTGGCCAGGGTGGAAGTTGTAGTGGCCAGGGTGGGCAACCCTAAACCCGCCCGAAAAGGAAAGATCCGGGCCTCAGGCTGTTAAAATGCCGGCAGTACGATCAAAGCGCATAGTCTCGAGGCCAGTGGGTCAAAGAAATTAGCGGAAAGCCTCCTCCAATCTGAACTGATAGTCGAGGCCTGAATAATTGGCAACAGTGCCCCCTTGAAGCCTCTGTAGAATCATTGTGCAGTATACACCAAAACCTTGTTCTAATTATCATGGCCCCTTCATTCGCTGTTTTGAGCTATCTCCGTGCCGGAACGAAGTTCTGCAAGATCGCGGCATCGACAGTCCATGAATTTCTGTAGGGCATCGATGGACACATGCGAAGCCATAAACCTTAACCCTGAAATGCCATAAACCCTGAACCCGGAACCCTAAACCCTAAACCCTAAACCCTAAACCCTAAACCCTAAACCCTAAACCCTGAACCCGAAAGCGCCTTAAATTAAGCCTTAAACCGTAAGCGCGAAGCCCGCAGCCGGAAAGCCGACATGCTGCCTGCCATTAGGGTCTAGAGTGCAGGGTTTAGGGTTTAGGGTTTAGGGTCTAGGGTTTAGGGTTTAGGGTTCAGGGTTTCGGGTTTCGGGTTGGTTTAGTTTGGGTTTCGGGTTTAGGGTTTAGGCTTTAGGGATGTCCTAACAGTCCCTGTTGTTCTTGCTGTAATATGCCGCGAAAGCCCACTTCTAAGTATCCCTATGCCAGTTGTTTAGGCATCGTTTCTCAACCCTTCTTCCAAACCAAAGTATTAGGCAAACCCGTGAAACTTTGCTTTAAGCCTTCATTCCCAATCCCCCAACACTGACATACATATATATATATATATATATATTGTTCTGGCAACCCTAAACCTTAAACTCCAGAACCTAAACTTGAAACCCGAAATCCCAAACAAATCCTTCAACCCTAAACTCTCGCCCTAAACCTTGAAACCTAAACTCCAAATCCTATACCCGAAAAAGGATCCCCCGTAATACAGTGGCCTTAATAATCAGAATAGGGTTGGGGGGTTATTATACTATACTTATATATAACACAGAACCCCCAAAGCCCTGTTCTGATTATTAAGCCCCCTACACCCTAAAGCATTATAGTAGCCCTTAAAGGAACCCTTTAAAGGACCCNNTTCTGATTATTAAGGCCCGTACATTATACGAACGCCCTCAAGTTTGCGCAGTGAGGCCCTTCGCTGGACGGAGCGTGGAGCGCGACTCGGCTCGGTCTCTTGGCCTCTTTGCGGGTTGGGGTTTAAGGCTTATAGGGTTCAGGATTTGGGGTTTAAGGTTTCGGATTTTGGGTTTAAGGTTTAGGATTTAGGATTTTGGGTTTAAGGTTTAGGATTTAGGATTTAGGGTGTAAGGCTTATGGTCTAGGAGTTAGGGTTAAAAGGTTTAGGGCTTAAGATTTATGGATAAAGGTTTAGGGTTTAGGGTTGAAGGTTTCGGGTTCAGGGTTTATGGGATTTTCGGGGTTTCAGGGTTGAGGGGTGAGGGTTCAATAAAGGTTTTGGGCATGGGACTATGGGGTGCTCAGGCTTTACGATCTTCGGGTTTAGGGGAGTTAAGCGTCTAGGGTTCTGAGAAATATATATGTATCTTTTTGTGGCTATCTATCTAAAGTCGCAAATATTCTGCAAGCTAGTTTAAACCATACATGGCCAAGCTCCCCTAAGCCCTAAACCTATGGCTTTCTCTTTACATAATTAGTTGCCTTCACTACAACCTTACTTACTAGGTCCCATGCTAGCCCCAATAAAGGGGCCGTAATCTCTGGACTATGGTTTTGGGTTTACAATACTCTATCAGAGTTAAATGGAGACGATATCTCGCCATTTTTTCCCAGGCCAGGCTGCAGCACATCCTGGCAACGCACCTGCTGGCTGGCGAGGGCTGCCCTCGAAACGAGGAGCGAGACACAGCCCACTTTGCGCTACTTTGAGCGCTTACTGCAGCAGTTGCACGATATTCCCCCTCTAAAAACCCTAAACCCTAAACCCTAAACCCTAAACCCTAAACCCTAAACTCTAAACCCAAAAGGTGAAATCATTCTGATGCTAAGGCCCGAGCTCCAGCCTCGTGAAGCACTACGAGACGCTGTCACCCTGAGCCCTAAGCCCTCAATCCCTCGCCCTAAAGCTGAAATCCTAAAGAAGCCTATACCGTGAAGCTTACGTGCTCAGTCTAGAGGAATCCCCTGGACCTTAAACCCTTAAATCTAAACCCTCAGCCCTAAGCCCCAAGCCCTAAACCCTAAACCCTTAACCCTTAACCCCTGAACCCCTAAGCCCTAAACCCTAAACCCTAACCCCTATAAACCCTAAACCCTAAACCCTAAACCCCGTTAAAACCCTTAACCCTAAACTCCCCCCTAAACCCCCAAACCCTAACCCCTAAACCCTAAACCCTAAAACCCCAAACCAAACACTAAACCCTAAACCCTAAACCCTAAACCCTAAACCCCAAACCCTTAAATTCTAAACCCTAAACCCTAAAACCCTAAAGCCCTTTGTTTTAAATTCAAAACAACCCTACCTGTAGTCTCCATTGTAGTTCCTTTTTGGGGATACCTTATAAAATCCTTAATTTATAATTGGTTAAACCAAAAAAAGGAACTACAATGGAGACTATAGGTAAACCCATCAGTTTAGAGGAATCCGCCCTCCATTTGCTTCGGGCCGCAGCTGCCTCGGGCCATGCGCCGGCGGAGAACAACTTGGGGGTGGTCCTGGCCAGAGGTGGGGTTTAGGGTTTAGGGTTTAGGGTTTAGGGTTTAGGGTTTAGGGTTTAGTGTTCAGGGTTCGGGGTTCGGGGTTCAGGGTTTAGGGTTCAGGGTTTAGGGTTTAGGGTTCAGGGGTTGCGGTTTAGTTTGGGTTTAGGGGTGGGGTTGGTTTAGTTTGGGGTTTCGGGTTTAGGGCTTGTAGGGTGTGGGGTTTAAGGGCTGGGGTGTAGTTTGGCTTTACGGTTTAGTGAAGTTTAGTGGTTCGGGTGTAGCTTGGGGTTTAGGGTTTAGGGGTAAACCCTAAACCCTAAACCCTGAACCCTAAACCCTAAACCCTAGGTTGGGGTTTTGGGTTTAGGTGTTAGGGGTCAGAGGTGGGGTTTGTTTGGTTTGGGGTTAGCGGTTCCGGTTTAGAGCTTATAGGGCTTGGGGTTTAGTTTAGTTTGAGGTTTAGGGTTTCGGGTTAGGGCTTATAGGGTTTGAGGTTTAGGGGCAGGGGTTTAGTTTGGGGTCAGGGCTTAGTGAAGTTTAGTGGTTCGGGTTTAGTTTTGGGCTTAGGGTTTAGGGGTGGGGGTTTCAGGTTTAGGGTTTTGGGGGTTTTAAAGTTTCCTGGATCCTGTCAGGGTTCCTTTGAGGCTTCTGTAGGAGTCGATGGCCTGGGTGGAGGTTAGGGATGGGTTTAGGGTTTTAGGGTTTGAGTTCCTTGAAGGGCTAGCGTGCAGCACTGTTTTGGGGGGTTCCTTTTCAGCGCTCTATGGGCTCAGGGCCTAGGGTTCTTTTGCCAGAGGTGGGGGTTTCTTTGCTAGGGGTCCCTGATTTAGGAGCCCCAACCAGATGGTTGTTGTGTCAGTGGCTGGTTTTTCCTAGGATTTGTTGAACGGTTTCTTGTCTGTCAGGGCTTTAGGAAGCTTGTTCTATTGGAGGCTACGGGCGTGGGATTTTTGATGGTTCTAGCGGCTTTTACTGACGCCAAACCTTATAGGTAGATGTCATGTCACTTCAAGTGGCTCACTGACTGGAGCGAGCAAGCACAGGACCCTAATTAGGCCCTAAACCCTGAACCCCTGAGCCCTAAACCCTAAGCCACAGGACAAGTCGATCGACACTCCACACTCGGTTGCAATCGAACCCCCAACACTGGTTCAGAGTTCAGGTCCCGTCGTGTCTGCGCCGCTGCGGATCCACCAAGTGCTTTCTCTGGTATCGGCTTGTTCTTATGCATTGCACCGAGGGATATATGCATGTATATATGTACATATACATACATATCTATATATGCATTTACTCCGACAGAACAGATCGCTGCATCCTCATGAACCGGACGTTGTCTGGGATACGCCGTCCTCTCGAGACTCGAGACAGGACAACGCTCCTCTCTCACTGGCGCTGTCGCGAGACATACCGCGGGTCAGTCCATCGGATTTGGGGATTCCGTCACTGCTCTGCGGCGACGACGACTGTTGGCGCGAACTAGTCGTAGAATACCGTAGCAAGACAATATTTAGAGCAAGAAGACGGATACCCACAACAAAACCTCAAAAGCCGGAGACCCTGCATCCTACAAATGAGCTGCAGACGCTAAACTCTACGAATCCTTCAAACAAACCCCTAATGCCAATAACGCCTAGTCAGAAGCGCCCACCACCAGAGCACCGCACCATGCTCCAAACCTGAGTTCTTACAAGTCCTACACCGTACTCCCTGAGCCCTACAGAACCCTTTAAATAATTAACTTCTAACTTGCTGTAAAACGTTGTCGGAGATCCAAACCAGGGACCCTTAACCATGAAGCCTTAAGCCTTATGACATCCCACAAGACCCTACAAGAGCCCTGGACCCTGAACGCCAACCTTAGATGACTAAATCCCTAAGCTCTCGTCGGAAGGTTTGGGCGGGCCGCCCGCGGTCAGTGAGGCCCAAGGCCACTTCGAGAAAGCGGCGGCCAAGGGAGACGAAAAGGCGAAGCGCAACCTTGAGGCTCCAGCAGAGGGTGCGGCAAAACGGATTTAAGGGGTGAGGGCTTAAATGCTTTAAGGCTTTAAGGCTTAGAGGCTTTTGGGGTTTGGGGTTTAGCATTTAAAGGCTTTAGGGTTTACTGTTAAAGGGCTATGGATGGTATCAAGGGCAATATTATGACCCTAAACCCGAACCTTTAAGCCCTTCTATGAGCAGGATCTCGAACACTCGGTGGGGGTTTAGTAGCGTTTCAGGGGGGTTCTAGGGTTTAGGGGTTAGGGGTTAGGGTTTGCTTCATGGGGGTCATGTAGGGGAGTCCCATATCCTGGGGTCGCTAGGTCTCCCTTTGGGGGTTTCGCGTTCAGGGTTGAGGAGTTAGGGTTTGCTTAAACTGGACGAGGGTTCTTAGGGTTTAGGGTTAAGGGTGTAGGGTTTAGGGTTGAGGGTTTAACGTAGGTTTGCGGCATGTTGCGCATTCATGCAGAGAGCATCGGCTTTCGACATTTGGGCAGATTGGTCACTGGGGTTTGGGGCCGGTTTGGTAAGGCTGTTGTCGCGACTATCTCAACTGCAGTGCCTTTCCGGTGAGTTTCGGCACAAAAAAACGAAGCACCCTCACATGAAATTTCGATCCTTGAGGCGAATGCCTACGTGAATCCCGAGCCTTGTAAACCCCTGTCGAAAAAACACAGCCTGTTGAAACCCCTGCTTCATGCTCACATCCTCACCCCAAATCACACTCAACACTCTGTCAAAAGGGTTTAGGGTTTAGGGTTTAGGGTTCTGTCAAAACCCTGCGAACCCTCAACCCCGCGCCCTGAAACCCTGCAAGAATCCTCGAAGAACCACAGGAGTCCCCCTACAAAAGCCAACCCCTAAACCCGAAGCCCTGGACTCGAAGCTCTAAGTCTTAAACCCTAAACCCTAGACCCTAAACCCTAAACGCCCTAAACCCTAAATCCCTAAACCCTAATCATGCTCACAGCATCCGAGTATCGAGCAAGCGGAGCTGGCTGACAGGCACCCCCGATTGAAGGTC